GGGGGGGGGGGGGGGGGGGGGGGGCGGGGGGACCAGACCATTTGCCATATCTTGAGCCCGTGATCCAGGAACCCGTGAGTGAGCAGCATGACCGGACGCCTCGGGTCGAACGGGGATTCTCTCAGTTTCCTGGTCTCGTTCGTCTTCAGGGTCTGAAGAATAATTATGCTCTTCTTAAAACGACGTGAAAGCGTAGAACTTGCGAAGAAAATTGAATCAGTCGCCAGAATACCCTGGCCTTGAACGCTATCAGTATTTTCAAGTCACCTGATTCGACTCGCGCTAAAGAAACAATTTGAGAATTTATCCCGGAATCACGACAGTAAATTTGAAGAAGGCACGAAATCGGACAGGTTCAAACGGCCTTGCGCTTATTCGGCAGACCGTTGAACGGTGACCGTTCGAGACGGTGCAAATTCCTACCGTGCAGATCCGCAAGGGCTTGCCAATTGGGATGCGACCGAATCGTGCCTATTTCGGTTTCGTGCCGATTGTCACGTGCTGATCATCCGCTTCCGCTGTTCTAATTTCGCCGTTCCTTCACGACCTCTCGAAGACGTCGAGGCCAATTAATGCCAATTATTATTTTTTGCAAGAAGTTTCCGTGCGCTGTAACAGGCCGGGACAAGTTTCCTCTCGGTAGATCAGCTGAGCAAGTGTTTAATGTTTTCGTGAGACAAATCGCAGAATTTATGAGAACGGAGGCTAGACCGTGGCATCGAGTACCGTTCTTCCGTAAGATGAAGGTTTTACGGTAGGTGCAAAGGAAGCCAGCAGACAATTTAAAAAAGTGTACAACCCCCCCCCCCCCCATCATTTCTATTATTTCTGTAGGCTGATGTCGGTCAGAATGATTTATTAGATCAATTTCCATCTACAAGGTTCGTCTGCTCTCCCACAACCTAGAAGATGAAAACACGGCTGTTGTGTTTGCGAACCCTGCAAACACATTTTGAATTATGAAATATTTGTCATGAAAGGAAATTTGGTAATGGCACCGAGCTCTAGATCCCAGAAGTTTCAGAATTAAAAAATGATACAACTCCATTAAGGGTAAAGCAACTAGACTGATAAAAGCAAGATCCTCCCTTTGAAGAAGATATTATTGTTCCATAATCTATTTGAAACCGATTAATAAAGCCGGTTAAGCGGTTCCAGAGAGGATAGGACTGGTTGCCCCCTTCCCTCCCCCCTCCCCCCCCCCTCCCTCCCCCTCCCCACCCTTTATGTACAACCTTCATAATACCTCAATCAGAAGTATCTTTCTTCAACGAAAGAATAAAGGAAAATCACCGTACGTAGCAGTCATTCGGATTTCGGCGGGTGTAAAGGCAGAAGACGGGTCCAATGACCTCCGGAGGTTCAGGGTGTGCAGCCAATGGTCTCTGCGCGGATGTCCACGGGTAGTCTGTCGAGAAGCATCCATACGGGGGATGGCATTTCTCCCCTTTCTTCCTCTCTGCCCGCGGATGTCGGCGAAAAATGGAGGTGTGAGAGAATAAGGAGAGGGTGCTGAGTCATGGAGCTCTAGAGCGTGGAATGTCAAGGTCAAAGTATAATTAACTCCTCATGCAAAGAACACCTTCTTTTGAACTGCTTTTGACAGCCTGAGACGCACACGAACAAAATGCCCCAAGCGACAAAACATAAAAGATGGAGGTTGTCTATGTCGACAAGGAAGCTGCGTCCGTGTCGGCATCGACGCACCACCCCGGGCCCAGTTATCGGATGCGAGAACCTGCCTGAAATTCCGTCTCAAATCTCGTCGAACGTTAACCCCTTCTCAAATGTGTCCCCTTTTCATAAACGGAAAAAATAAAATAAATAAGATGGGAAAAAAAGTATATATGAATATAAACTTGTGGCGCCCTCTACGAATACTGGAAGGAATCCGCGCCAACGATAAGGCTTGTAAAAAACGCCGAGGAGATTTAGACATATCCCGCTGAATCCGTCGCCCGAACTCATTCAAGCGAGTTTTCTCTGAGCGAAAGGTTCCCCAACCTTGAGATTTAAAAGGCATTACCCTCACGGAGGCATTGTCGATTGTCGGCTTCCTGACATCCTTCGGTGGGGTGGAATTCCAAATCGGGAGAGACACGTGGGAACAGTGGCTGCTTGGCTGCTCCTTTTTTTTTTCCTTCTCCTTCTGTCGTCGGAGAACCGGTTGACCGCGCGCTTCTTGGCTTTTGCTCAATGCCGACGAGCATGGTTAATATAGATGTTATCGGAATTCATTATTAAATCATTTCTAAGTATTGAAGAGAAGAGATCGTGGCCGCAATCGCTTGGACAAGGTTTTAGAAACATCTTCGATGCCAGAACAGTTGAGCATTTCCATCGTGTGCTTTCATTTCAAGTTCAACTTAAAATTCAAGTTCAACTTAAAATGCAAATTCAGCATGAAATTCAAAATCAGGTTCGATGTTTTGATCTCAAACTTCCAAGAATTGCCGTCATTGCGAAGGGTCTTTCAAGCGTTATGGTTGCTTTTGGTTGAAGGATTGGATCACCAAATAAATTAAGTTTCAACTTAATTTATTTAAAATTAACGAATTAATTTAAATACTTAGTTTTTGGTCACCTTTCACCTTAAGGGCAAACACCATTCAATCTCGGGCCGCATCGCGAAATGTTGAAAGAAGCGACAGGCGACGAGGATCGAAATCGTGCAGGTATGAAAAAAAAACGGGTCGAAAGTACCGTCGCACTCGAATTTGGCACAAGTACGAGTTCCACCAGCATCGAGACTTCACGGGGGAACTCAATACCCCAGTCAGGATTTTGGCTAGGTCCATCGCTTCTTGGAAATCTGCAGTCGAATGGGGTTGGAATTCTTGCGATTCGAGTGAAATGAACTTGAGAAGGTGGATAGGGGGAAGGGGGGGGGGGGGTTCTCGCTTTAAAATAGGCAATGGAAAAGTGGAGTCCTCACGCGATGAATCGGAGAGACCCGAAATGATTCCCTTGAAAGCCCTGAAGTCCCGGTTGGGCACCCCGGCCGCGCCGCGCTCCAACGCCTGGTCCAGGGACCCGATCTCCCTCGCCGCGTAGAAGCGCACCAGCCGCTGCCACGTCGCGTCTTCCAGGGCGAGGAGCAGATGCACCAGGAGCCCAGCGAGAGTCAGCAGCATCCCGGCTGGCAAGGAGATCAGTCTTTAAATCGGTCTTTAAATCGGTCTTTAAATCGGTCTTTAAATAAAGTCGATTCTGGACTTTCTTGCGTGCTAATTCGTGAAACGGAGGAAGAATCGGGTGGAATTCTGAAGTCAGGATTTGAATCGTCGTTTAGCCTTCGGCGGAGCGGGACACATTTCCCGCTGAAAGTCCCTGGCACGGCCGGTATTTTATTATTATTTATTCTTTAAACCAACCTTCGTCTATCTCTTTGCATTAGTCCCTGGGAACTGATAAGTAGTCGCTGTAAATGATAAAGGTCACGTGACGTCAACATTGGCTGCCAAAACAGTTCACTTGTTGTCGACATGTTAATAGCTGCACCAATTTATGCTCTTTAATTTGGTTTGTGTCTTATCTTCATAGCTCAAAAATATTAATTTAAAAAAATATTAATTCCTTAGGGATTAAAGGGCGCATTTAAATTCCAGCCGTCAGGGGAGCCAAGTACCAGTATCGCCCGTGCGATAAAGGTTATTGCAAGAATTACCTTTTAAGACAAAAATTACCTTTTGAGGCTTGAATTCACTCTATTGACGACTTAACCTTTCCTTTCTTTAAATGTATTTCTGAGAGCTTCTATGAAAAATTTCACCGCTAAGGTATATCCAAGAAGTTCTAAATAAAACACATCAATAAAAAATTCTATAAAAACCTAATTTTTTTTAGAGACCCCAGAGAGGAAGCAAGGGTTCAAAGTTCGAATGATCTCAACCATATCACTTATATATGGGTGTTTTTAAGAGATAATTATTTTTAATGCAGAAGCACCGCGCATGCATGCAGTACATTGTAAGTACTTAGAAAGTACTCAGCACCATTCAGTACTTTCAATGTAGATAATTGGTTCACAAAAGGCTTCATTTAACGCATCCTTAAAAAAAATTCTCGCTTTTATAACGAAGAATTTTTTCCTCAATTCCATTTTCATCGGAAAACATGCAGTTAATTTAATGGTAATTAATTATTGGTTATTGTCTAAATTCCTTGTTTAAATGCACTCGTTTAAACCGCACAGGAATTTTAAAAGTGACTAATTCACCTAGACTGTTCACAAGGCGTCATGAATTTTTCCAAACAAATTTTTTTATTTGTCGCTTTTTTTGTCCGTTTTTTGGGGAATGGGGAAGAGCAAGCACTCGGCGCAAATTCTTTGCGGGTTGCTAAACGGCAATATTATGCTTTTTGCTTTTGCAAACTTGACCGTTTTGGCGTGAGTACCGCCGAAATCGGCTGTTTTGACAGGTGCGTAAAAGCATCCCATTAAAAACTACATTATCGAGTTCAAATTAAGTTTCACCCTATGAATTCCCTCATTCAGGATTCGCCTTCCCACGATTGGTTTAGGTCTCTTATGCTAATATATAAGCCGCGTTCAAAGCAAAATCTTCTCGAATGAACCATACCAATCGAGGTCCACTAACTGTGGAGTCGACTTGCGTCGGTCTTCAGGAATATTCCCCACCACGACCCCCGCACTTGGACGGAACCCCCTCGCGAGGGAGCCGAACAGAGCGAACGCGTGTCACCTGCCTTAATACCCTCCTATCTCCTAAGGGTGAGAAGGAGGAGGAGGAGGAAGATGGAGGAGGAGGAGGAGGATGGAGGGAAAAAAAGATGGTGACCTTGAAAAGGAACCACAAGAAAGCCAGCTCGTTGTACGTTCGTGCCGTATTTACATCCTCTTGAATCATTTACGAGTGATGATGTCCGACATGGAGCGGAAGGGGGAACGACCGGCTTCTACGGGGTGTGTCAAAAGTCCTGCCCACCGTTTCAATGTTAAGAACTTTGGAATGATTGATCGGATTAAAACGCGGTTTGTACTATTCCAAAGACAAGACGAATCACTATCTAATAGTAGGTTTTCGTATTGTTGTGTTCCATCATATCGCAATTGGGAGACGGTAAATAAAATACCTATTTTTGGGGTATTTAAACTCGTTCAAAAATGAAAAGACGCTGTGTGCTGGGTCTGATTATCTGTCTTAGTGCCTGATGAATTGTCTGTCCGTTGCGAATGATTTCCCTGGAACATTTTCTGTGAAAAATGAGCGAGCAGCGACTGGGTATCGATAAGGGTGTTGCCACCGGAAATTCAACGGAAAGAAACTGCAAGTCAGAAGTCGACCGTCCGCATCGACTCAAAATTTTTGAAAAAACCGGGGAACAGTCCCCTCTCTGGCCGTCCGAGGACCTGCCGTTCCGCAGAAAACGTCGATCAGCAGGAAGTCATCAGCATGTCAGCAGGAAGTCATCAGCATGTCAGCAGGAAGTCATCAGCATGTCAGCAGGAAGTCATCAGCATGTCAGCAGGAAGTCATCACCATGTCAGCAGGAAGTCATCAGCATGTCAGCAGAGACCGCCACCCCTCGGTCATCGGTCGAACGAATTTCCCGAAAGGATCTCAAGCTGAAGTGGAATGTTCCACGACTCGTTCGAGAACTTCTTGCAGACGACTTCGACAGGCGCGCGGAGTTCGCAGGATTCGACGGGAAGACGACGATCCAGCATTCTGCGCCGGTCGGACGAGGCCATCTTTCGATCTCCTGGTCTCATGGTAGGGGCCGGAGTTATTCGAGACGGGTTCGTGGGACCATTTGAAGATGGCGCTGTGGATGGCGACCGGTATCTCAGCGTGTCGAAAAACCAGATGCGGCCAGCAATTGCTGCTAGCAGCGACATTGATTTTTTTTTTCCAACAGGATGGAGCACCCGCTCACAATTCTCATCAAGTGCGTGAATGGTCGATGGGTTGGGCGTGGAGGACCAATTGAATGGCCACCTCGAAGTCCTGACCTAAAGACGCTGATTTTCGGCTTTGGGGTTGCCTAAAGGACCTTGTAAAGAAATGAAATCCCAAGGAACAAGATTGCACGTGCAAGGGAATCCGTTGCCCAACGCGTTCAACTAACTGAACTCAACGGGCGTCAATTGATGGATTAATTTTCATTTGCAGAAAACGTGTTGGATTCTTGTTCTTGTTTAAAATGGAATGCGGAGTCTTTTTTATTATAAAGAATTGTCAAGGCTTTCGAATGATTCAAACCAGATTTAAATCCAACAACAGAGTCATGAGTCATCAACGGTCAAAAGGTGGGCAGGACTTTTGACTCACCCTGTAAATGGGCCGCAGATTCTCTTTCGAGTCAGAAAATTGACCAAAATTTGATTCGAGGCGGACCTGTGGCAAATCGGCCTCTATGTTTCTGTCATGGCTTGGCTCGGATACCAGTAATTTGTTTGGGTTCTTTATAATAATCGATAATTTATTATCGATTATTAAGCGATTATTTCATCGTGGAGCCTCTGGGAAAGCTTCAACAAATCCCCCGCAAAGTGAACACGTTCGTCCACTTTGTAAACGCGATTAAAGGCGGCGGAGAGGAAAGACGAAAATTCCAGCTGATAATCCGTTTAAGGAGTTAAGAGCAAGTTTATCTCTGAGGATTAGTTTATGAGAGAAATGATATAATTAGTTAAACAAATTGCCTTTGGTGCGTGTCGCAGAGCAGTTTAACGACGAGTTCGATTCATTCGCAAACATAATTGCCACCTTCCACCTTCCCACCTTCCAGATGGAAGGCGGGAAAATCAGGCAATTTCGCGGCTTTTTACTCTCAAAAATTCTGCTAAATTTTTACTATTACTACTAATACTACTAACTTTTACGATATGATGCTTGCATAATGGAAAAAAAAACTTTTTTCAGTGCTTTTTTCCCGCCACTTGCGCGCCAGAAGCCACCAGAAGAAAAAAAACAACCTGAAATTCAACCCGGGAGAGGAACTCATTACAGCATCCGAAGCCATCCGAAGTCGTTTGTCGGAAAAAAAAAATGGAAGAAAAAAAAAACTCGAAGGGACCATCCCCAGAAATTCCACATTCGATGGTCCATCTCCTCCAAGGGCAAATGCAGTCCGATCCCGGAATGGATGAGGCGGCATGCTTATTTTCTTCCGAGCCAGTTTTTATATGCGGGGTGGGCAGAAAGTCCCTGAGGGGTTCCATGATTTTTTATGCTCTTGAACGAAAAAAAATTGAGGAGTCGGGTCCGATGGATGGGACGGGGAGTGTCGATCCTATCGCCTCCAAGGTCCCCAGACCTGACCCCTAGAGACCTCCATTTGTGGGGCGCGCATGGAACATTGCGTATGCCACACGCTCACGAATTACGCACACGCGTCGGGGAAGTGGTCAGGAACGTCTCGCCTGCCCAACTGGAGGCAGTCACGATCGCGAAAAGGTAGCAGGCATGTTTTCACAAAGATGGTGGACGTGTGGAAGTGTGAGATGTGTGATTTGGTGTGTCATATAAACATTTACGAAATCAACTTTTATGTGATGCACATCGCAGATTTCTACGCCACCACATTCTCAAGACATACGGGCGTGAAACCCCTCAGGGAATTTCTGTCCACCTTGTATATATATATTTCTTTTGTGTGTGTGTGTGTGTGGGGGGGGCCTTGACTCGGTAGGATCGACGCCCTCTCGTACTCCACAAACCTGACTTCGCCAAGCTAACTCCACGAAGGAAGAAAGCAAGGAATCTTCCAGTTTTGTTGGAGTTGCCGGTTCTAATAACCTTAAGCGGCAGACAAGAAACCGTCTGCGGGTTCGGTTACTTCCTCCATCAATTGACTAGATATAGGGCCAATCGAATTGAGTCTATAATGCTCGATTGGAATCTCATCCGTAATCCGATAATGGATTGCTTTTAGGTTTGAGATTGGCCTGAGATGAAGGCGAGGGGGGAAGGGGAGGGGGGAGGGGGGGAAGGAGGGGGGGGGGGGACGCTGATGAGAAAAGGAGAGGAGAAAACGAGAAATGATTTCCAGTGTCTTTTCTTTGGCGTTATTCTAGAAATTCCTTTTTTATTTTGCCTCAAGAGATGATAATCGACAAATAAAAACGACTGACAGGTCGGGACACCTAAACCAAATAATTTTTATTTTCTTCTTCTTTCGCTTCTCTCAGAGATCAATATAACGGAGAGAAGGAAATGCACGAAGAATTGCACGGGGAATTGCATGCCCCACCCGATCCACACAGACTTGATCTCACCGGCTTTCTTGGATCCCCCTTCACGCGTCCTCAACTGCCCCGAGATATCGGCCTGATGTCGGCCTGATGTCGGCCTGATGTCGGCCTGATGTCGGCCTGATGTCGGCCTGATGTCGGCCTGCAGTTGATCCATAGTCCTTCAAAATCTGTCAAATGGATTTTGAAATACTGCGAACTCAATGAGTGCCGGCGCCCTCTCAGGTACTTTCGGGTACTTTCAAGTACTTTAAGGTACTTTCCGGTACTTTCAGGCAGCATGAGGATGAGGCAATTCGACTTCAAAATAATTCGAACAATTTAATACCTTGTAGTTGTAAAATTAAAATATTAAAATGATGAATAATTCATATATTCCAATCATAATAATTAAATGCTACTCTTGTATCAATCTGATATGGTATCACCTTAGTTTTAATAATTATTATTAAAAAGAACTTGCTGTTCTTTGAAATTAATTGGCACTCACGAGTTTGCAAATAACATAATAATTTATTTTAATGACTACTGGATTTTCCTCAAATTCTTTCCCGTTTCTTTCCAGCCGTTTAGCTAACGAAGGGATTTTACAAATTTGTTTTCGAGCAAGGAAACTTTTTTCAGTGGGGCAGATACCAATTTCATAGTTGCGAAACCTCGGGATGCGGAAATAAATTTAACGAGAATTTCGCGGAATGGATCCAGAGTTCATGAAATGATTTGCAAATTCTGCTTCAACTTAAAAATCAGCGCAATTATATCGACTCTTGAAATTTGTGATTGCGGTGCGGATATGTCATTTTTTAAAATTATGGTACTGGTCTTCACCATTATCAACTAAGAGTATTTTCGGGAAGCTGGCAACGTGTAAGAAGTCACCAAAAGAAAAATTAATTGTTGTCAAAAATTAATTAAATGTTCCATCAAGATGTAACAATTTCTGGATCCCATGACCGAAATGTTTCATCAGACCGATGAAAGAAAAAGTTGATGGGGCGGACCCAGTTGGAGAAACAGATCACTAGTCCAAAGTCAAGTTCTTATTAAGTACTAAGTAATTATTACTAAGTCGAGAAGGTATTTCGTTGCACAAAAATATCTTTTTCCCGACTATCACCCCCGCAGGGGAGAACCCGTTAGTTTCCATTAGACAGTTACAGGGTCTTCAATGAGAAGTCGGCTGGAGCGAAATCTCGCTTCTGTTCTCAAAACCTTGTTTGCGCGAGTAAACACTAGATGGTAGGACTGGTAGGACAATAGCAGTTGATTTTACAGGTCGATTTTTAATGGCGCCGAAAATCTCGGTTTCGGTTCATTTCGGGGGACCGTGAGGCTAATGTGACGGTGGGAACGATAACTGGTCGAGATCAACTGGGCCGGGAATGAAGGCTAAGGTGGGATGATTCACGTGGTCATTCGCGAAGGAAGACGAAAGGGGGATGGGGGGGGGGGGGGGGCATTCGGGTTGACAGGATTCCTAGGCCAAGCCAATTCCCTGGTTCGTTGGAAGGTTCTTCGTTTGTTTACCAGGAAGGTGACCTGGTCATGGGGAAGAAAGTGATCGCGACCTCATGGAATATTGCAGTCCCGAACGTCAATATGTCGATAAGAGACAGACTTTCCCGTCGAATGGTAAGTCCAACGCTCCCAGCAAAAATTATCTTTCATAGGGAATTCCTATTTTAAGTGAAAGGTCGAACTCCAATCGTGATATCGAGGAATTCCCATCGAGACCCAAATCATGAACATCCAAATGTATGTAGCCCTTACTTATCATGATAATGATTGGAATGAGGTGAATGCTGAATTTGTGATTCATATTATTTGCCTTATGATCTTCTCATACTCTCAGACTTGAATTTACTGCTATGAGGATCATTTACAAATCTTTCACTTGGTTGTGTATGACGGAGTTGTGCTTGAAAACCCCAAATCAGGAACCCAGTTCGCCTTCAAGACTGAGCCTTTATGAAGAGGGAAAATAATGGCAGGAGTCCGGAAGGAAATTACTCTTTATTGATGATAATAATGATGCTTGGCCTGTTTTTTAAGATCGAGGTACATCATATCGGGAGTGGATGAATGGTAATGCCCTTGTTGAGAGATTAATGTTGCTGATGAGATGATAATAATAATGAGGAGAAGGAGTTCATCTCCATCTCCATCAGGCTAGAAACTTGGGAAAGGCATAAAAATTCACTGATCACAATGAAATAATTCTTCCTGGTTTCTGTGGCCTGATGAAGGTGATGATATCGGCGAGAGCAGTTATCATTTAAAAATGGCCAGTATGGGTTCACCTTTCCGAAGTAATTCTTCCACATTTCCTTTCAGCTGAAAGTTGAAAAGAGATCCCTTAAGCGACTGATTGACATCAGGTAAGGGCTTCTCCAGACATCGTCGGTTGTCATCCAGCCTCATCGCCATCCTTTCCCCAGAGACCAGCTCTCGACCCCGGCCACAGAAAGCCACCCTGCGCCAAGAATGGATGTCGAATTCTGGGAGGATGCACGAAGAAATCGCGTTGGACTTACTTGGCGCGGCGCTCGAGGGTCTGAACGACGACTCGGTCGATGACTATCCAGGATTGCGAGAGCGACCGCTTTTTCTGAGCTTTCGTGGCCTTTTCCTTGTGTTCCCATTCCACGAGAATCTCCTCGATTTCCCCGATTTCAGGTGATGGAATCAGGAAACTGAATCTCTGGCCAGGCCTGACGCGCAATTCGCTGCAAGAGCAATCGTCTTCAGTATTGTGTGACTATCCTTAGTACCTGCTCTACAATCAATCTGTAATTGCAAGCAAAACTGTGCAAAATCAAATAATAAAATTATGATATGAATATCGCAAAATAAGGAATTATAATTTTTTTTTTTCCTTAGAGCGGTTAGAATGTTTTCCAAGAAATATGGAGAAGAACCTTGCAGCATCTGAGGCAGGTATCGGCATCGGAAGAAATTGAGGAATACACTTGATGAATAATCTTATTCGGAAAGGAGCACCTAACACAAGTGTTATTATTCTAAGATGAAGCTCATCCTTCAACTTTCAGCCTGAAAGTGGAAATGAGCTGGCTTACAGCAAAACCGCGTCCTTTCAATCCCAATAACAGGATATCGATCAATTTAGTTTTTCGAGGATTTCACATTGAGTGTTGGATCAAGTACATCACCAGGTAAGTGTCCGTACTTAGCAGTATCCCAAAACGGCACGATTGATCTGAAAACCATTTGATAGCTCCAGAGATTTTGAATACGAACCAAAACATGAAGTAGCTCTATAAGGTCCTGTTTTCATTTAATCATACAAAACTTTTGCACGGCATAGTTCCGTTATAATGGCACGTTTACACTTCCATTAACCAGGTGACGAACGTGTCTGAAGCTCTCATGGAATAAGTGTAAAATGAAGTCCGATGCCTTCTTGCTCACTCCCCGGACAAAATTTGCCGTTGGTTCGTTGGGAAAGTTGACTAATGAAGATGAGCCAGTGTGGCTGAGAAGGTTCCGAAAACCGACGTGAGATGGAGCCAGAGTAGTCGTAGCAGGGAATCGCTTCCCGGATTCTACGCAGATGACTCCCCTGTCCCTTTGACACAATTCCCTAAGGTTTCTCACGTCTCAAGAGATGTTCCTTCGGATTCTCAGCTCTTCGCGATAGGAGTGAACCTGTGTAAGATACTCTGGTAAGGTACTGCTCCTTCATCCCTCACACACGATGGAGCAGTATGTAGTCAAAGGATGCATTCGTATCTCTCCAAGATGCATATTTCTTTAGGTGCAGATTTTGTGGATTTTCTTTCTGATATCTTTTCATAATAGTGAGAACATATAGGAAAATGAGTTTAACTTGGCCAGATGAAGAGCCAACAGGACATTTACAAACATAAGCCAACAATACGCCAGTAAAGGCTCAACTAAGGCTTATATACCTGTCGACGAAATGCCATTGATAGTCAGATCAAACATTTTTCACTAGCATATGGTTGTCTTACTGGGGGTTTAAGCCGGCTTGCGGTTGGTCATGTCCTGTTGGCCGTTCATGGGCCCAACTTTGACCCATTGCAAGGAAACCGCACATGCCCCAACCTTGAGCCGACTTTTCACAATGGTGGGAAGAACAAAGAAAGAAACCACACTAACCACATCTACCTCGTACAGCATTATACATAATGGAGAGATCCTTTGCGCCCCCCCCCCCCACTGCTCCTTAATGTGGGAGCATTGACGGGGCAGTACTTTTCCAGAGTACCTTACACAGGTACACTCCTATCGCCAAGAGCTGAGAATATCACAAGCAACATTTCTTCCGAATGCTAAGGCATCCAGGAGCGGAATCGCATGGGAATGCAAGATATGCAGAATGCGAAGCAAGTGCATGCACTAGGAGCCTGCTGCAATTGTTCATTGGAAGAAAGGACGGAAGGGATATTGGAACTTGCATCATGACCATGAGCGCATCAAGTTTCTGTAATAACGAACTCCATAAATCCCATCTGCCCTTGACAGCGAGTGATCCACGTTCCAAGTAAAAAAAAAAATGAAAGGAGGGGGAGGGAAAGAATGCTATTAGACCTTCAAAGAACTGGAGAGACCAGTTTTATGGGCTCCCCATCTCGAGAATACTTCAGGCCTGACGAGGCGTGGGCAGTCGTTATTATGATGTCAGAATGAATCTTTCATGTAAAAGTCAGTTCTTACTTCGCCGTAAGTCTCATTTTTCCTGTTTGCGTGCATCAATTACCATCTCTGAAAATATCTTTCCAACGAAGTAAGAGTGAATATAAAAAAATTACTAGTTTTTTTATTAATTCAAACACTGACACTATAGTTCGAAATGCCACACGTTTCGACGATCAAAACCGCAGAAAATGGCCACATTTGGCCAGGAGGAATGAGAAATGGGGTTTTGGGGAGGAAGTGCGTCTGTTTCGTCTGTCGGGACTAGAAACCTGTTTTGGCCTTTACGGTTTTTTTTTTTAAATAAAAAATTAAGTAAACATTTAATGTTAGGGGGAGAGATCTGTTCCCCTTCCATTTGGTCCACTATATCATCGGAAGGGCTGCAGGGGGGGGCTATGCGACAAGGATTGTTTTGTCCTTTTTTTCGGTGGAGATTAAAATGCCCATTAAAGGAAAAGAAGAAGCTGGAAATTTTCTTGGAAATGAATAGAACAATATTCACTTTGGGTTTCCTGGTCCCCGACTCATAACAATTGAAAATGCAGACGAAATGATAGACATACTCATCTCCGAGCCGTGACCTGGAGGAAGAGCCGCGAGAGCCGTGAAGAGTGATGTGAAATTTGCCGATATCTCCGTCATGTTTGTCCGAGATCTGGAGATCCGCCAGGACCACAGTCACCAAGTGGGTCACCCCTAATCAATTTCGTCCTCGTCAGTTTATAAAAACGTGGGCAAAGAAATGCATCCATTAAGGGGAGTAAATCGTACGGCAGTAGGGGGGGAAATCGCCGGCGAAGAGGTAAAGTTGCTGAGATTTCCCCTTGAAGGAATCTGGTTTCCATGCTTCCATTGCGTGGTATCCCATTTGACCACACTTTTCTCCCCTCTGGCCACAACTCGTACAGCCTCCTCGCCTGCACCCATGACAGTCAAATCCTTGCGATTGTACATTAGACTGTTTTTTTTTTAATTATTTACAAAAAACAGCAATAGTTTTCTATGGGAGAAATGTAACTTCGTATTTGCAACAGACGATTGATCATCAATGTTGTCAATCAGCAGGCAATTGGGAGGCTACGATGTGTTGAAATGGTTTTTGTCTGTACCAAACAATACACCAATTAAAGAGTTTACAAGTCGATAATTTCGCCGGAAATTAGTCGATCGTTTCGTTCCACCATCTCAGATTGATGTAAATTATGTAACAAGACGTTGCATGGCTCAGGAAAAGGAACCAAAAAAACAAAATGCAACGCCTTGTAGTCATTGTAGCCAGAATGTCAGCCACTTGTCAATGTTAGTTACCTATGAAGGGCTGGAAGGTAAAGTGGTCTATCTGCAAAAAATTTCCGAAAAGGGTTTTTTCTTTTGTGTTGATAGAATCATGTTCTTTTCAAAGAAATTCATCGTTTTGTGGAGCTAAGTAAATGTTTAAGAGATCTATTGACAAATACCACTCTTCGCATTTTTAGCACTACGAGCACTGGAATATTCAGTCGTTCCATGTGGCGCTGCAGGAAGTAATTTTTTCGCAGATATATGAATTTACCTTTCAGCCCTTCATATATGCGCCAGCTTTCTCCCATAGAAAACGACTATATACCTCGTATATATATATATTTCTTTTTTGTATAGCACGTAAGATATATACACTTCAAGGTAGACTCAATATGGCTAAAGTAAAAGTTCTTTGAACAAGTTTACAAATTTTCACAATCACGTACTCAACATGTAGATGATGAGACAGAAAACTCACTCGAATTCGACCCGATTGGAGCATTGGTAAGCGACGAAAGGGCAAGGGGAGTTGATGGAATCGATGAAAAATTCGGCGCCCCTCCAGTGGTTGCAAAAAACATGCTGCTGCAATCCTTAGTTGATCAACATATGAAAACAAAGAACTCATTATTCATTAAATTTGCTGTGGCTCTCACGCAATGAAGAAATTGTGAAAAACATGTCTCTAGACATTCCTTTAATGTCACATGCACTAGTTTCCTAAAAATCTGGAAGAAGGAGCACATCGGGAAAAGTATGAAGGACTCGAGACTAGCAATTCATACCGTAGAGGATGGAACCGTTCCCCTTTTGAAGAGTATCCTGGAGCGAGAGACCACATCCGGGTATGCGAGGGCCGAAATTGGGATAAAAATCCTGGTGACCCAATGGTTGAGTCATCCCTAATCCTGTCACGGGACACAGCAGATACTGTACCTTGTGACATTACATCTAACAGCATCCACTCTACCCAGTCAGAAAATTTTAATCGGACCATCGATGGCTTTTCGTCGACGCGTATGGAAGCCTTAGTCGGGCCATCACTGGCATGTGATTGACTTACGGGTTGGTTTAAATAGGCGTATGGTCAGGCATGTCTTGCTGGCCCAACTTTGGCTCATTGTTAGGAAACGGCACATGCTCCAAAAGAAAGACGACTTTTCAAAATGATGAAAAAAAAAAAAATATATATATATAAGACATCTACAGCATTACTCATCTTGGAGAGATGAGAAAGCAGTACCTTGCCAGAGTACCATTCACAGGTACAGACTAACTCCAAGAGTTGAGAATATCACATGTCATATCCCTACGGGATGCTAAGCCATCTAGGAGAAGAATCACACGGGAATGCAAGGGCATCTGTCCTCTTGCAGGAGGCGCGTGTCTAACATAAAACATTCTTCAATGACATTTCTGAAATAAAAGACGTAACTTATTGTGAAAGATTGAAGGATATTTTCACGAACTTCCGGGTCAGAATTTTCTTGTCCATTGCAGGGCTAGGTTACATCATCAGATGAATGGTTCAAGGAATTCAATTTTATTTCTCTGATATCTATGTGACCAACTATAGGGAATTGTGTAAAAGGGACAGGGGATTTATCTGTGTAGAATCCGCGTATTGATTCCTTTCTACGACCACTTTGGCTCCATCTCACACCGATTTTGGGAACCTTCTCAGCCACATTGGCTCATCTTCGGCGAAGGCTTGGTCAGTCAATCATTCCCCGAAGATGAGTCAACTTCCCCAGCTATGGCCTGATGATAAACCAACGAAATTTTTGACTGGGTAAGTCTTGGGATTCCAACCCTTACCAAATACTGAGAGAGGAGCAGTGTCGGTGTGAATGACATCCACGAAGAGGGCATCCTCTGGATCGAGTCTCACCAGGGGATCCGTGTGTTCGAAATGGGGTCCAGCTGGGTCGAGGCCGGTGATGCGACCCAGTTTCCCCTGTCCCATGTCCTTGAGCGCCGATCCGATGTAGGAGGCCAGGTGAGCTCCCATACTCAGACCAACCACGTGCATTTCCTCTATTGGAGTCCCAACCTCCCTCTTTCCGAAAACACATCCATTGTTGTAAAAGATAGGGCGGAATATCTCAGTTCTGACGATAATGGTACATGTTTCGCCTAACATGTGGCTCATTTGGAGCAGTAGTAAAATAAAGCTATTTCTAGGGAATTCATGCATTTTTCACTATTTCTTGAATTGGTTCAAGGCTGTTTGCCAAGCCGATATGGTTTTACTCCTTTTTACAGATCGATTTTAAATTTCATACAACTTGTTTCAAAATATCTTGCACGTATAGACGTGGTCCCTATGCCTTCTCGAAGCCACAAAATAGGTCTAAAGCATAATGACGAGAAGTAATAGGCGCATCGAGGAGAATCTTGCTTGCGTTTCAAATGCTTCTGTTCCAAAGCATTCTTAGAAACTTTGAATTTCAGAGTAGTAATTGCATTTATTACATCTAAAGAAATGATAATGTTCTATCATTTCATGAGATAATCATACTTATTTTCTCGAATCAAACAGGCGTTATTGAGGGTGAGTGTTCACCAAATTTGCTAGAAGTGTGAAAGTCTGTGTTTGCAAACGCATTCTTGAAGTCTGGAATGTTGTCTTTAAAGGTCGTTGACGTTTGCAACGGAACATAGATATTTATCAAAGCTGGATTGATTGCGAGCATATTCATTGCGAAATTTTTTCGTTAGATTGAAATTCAACAGCTTAATTAAATGAACTTAAAAAAACTCACTTTTCCTTTTATTTTTCCCTTTCGGTTCACTTTTTCACGCAAAACTCACTAAATTAAAATGTTCTGCTTTCAAGATTCATAGATGAACCATTGGCTAGTTCAAGGAGTTTGAGAGGAACTACTTCTGCCTTTCGGGGGTAATTTTATCCTTCTCTTCAGAAACTCAAAAAATACCTTGCAGGCCGTTGGACGTATAATTTCGAAATTTCAGATGTAGTATTTTCTCATGACCCCCAAGAAGTCACAATTTCTCACAGCTATGTCCCAGCCCGTGGTACCTTCAGCCGCCTGAAATTTGAACCACTTGTCATGACTAAGTTGCGGGAAGATGTATATTGAAGTGTACTTTGCAAGTAAAATGAGAAGGCATTAATACTCACACTTTCAGTGAGATTTGTGGTTCAATTTTCCGGCCATCCAACTCCAATTCACGGTTCCGATCATTCTGAGTCGAGTCCACAACTGGCCATATTCACCCGGAGACGAATTACTACCAGAGGAATGCCGAATCCTACTTCCATTATCCTAATAAGTCGGCTTTGATTGAATGAGAAATGTAGTCGACAAAAATGCCTTCAGAGCATCGTATAGTCATTGCTTTACTGTTACGCTGTCAATAATGGCGCAATAGCAAATTGGTTTGAGTAGTGAAGAAAATATTCTTAAATCAAAGGCAATTATGGGAATCGCTTTACTGTTACGCTGTCAATAATGGCGCAATAGCAAATTGGTTTGAGTAGTGAAGAAAATATTCTTAAATCAAAGGCAAAAAATCTCTGACGCTTGTGTGCAGCGTTGAAGTATGGGAAGTCTTACGGCGAGGAAGGCGAGGAAATGAGCACCCATGACTCCGACGAGGCGGATGTTGGCCAGGGCTTGAAAAAATGGTGGTCCTGATGTCCCGAACCAGCTCAACACCACCACGTTCTGGTCTCTAAACTTCAGCAGCTCCTCATTAAGTTTCTGCATTTAACCAGTCAATGTTAGTATCATCGATGTCAGAGCTTTCCGTGCAGAAAATAAAAAGCGAAGGTGGACTGGACCAGCAGCCACGGCGTCTGTCCATGCTCTGTGAACCCGTGCGTGAGCAATATGATTGGATGCCTGGGATTGAACGGCGACTGCTGCAACCTCCTCGTCTCGTTCGTCTTCAAACGCTGAAGAAAAAAGCCAGCAAGCCAGTTAGGCCAGCAAGCATGATTAAAAAGGCAAAATGAATTAGAAAACTTTTTTGAAAGGTATGAAAGAAGGTGTGACCATTGTTCAAGCTTCCCTCGCCCTCCACAGAGGCAAGAGTGTTATTTTCACCATTATTAATGGATGGATTCTTTAAAACGACTTGGAAAACTATGCGAAAAAAGCTTCAAATTCGAATCCGAAGGATTCAAACGCTGGCTTTGAATGCTACGATACATTTTTTTATTATCATACTCTATCCTAGTTTTGAGAACCTCCTAGCAAAATCGAGGAAAAGCGCGGAAATTACCCAGAAAATGGGTCTAAAATGACATTTGACAATGTGGCCTTATTGGCAGAAGATAGTAATCAGTTTTATTTATTATTTTGAACTGGTATCTGGCCTTTCGAGAGGAGGCCAATTAGGTTGTGTTTAGAGAAATCACACAAAAGACCATTCCCAACTAGCTCTTCCAGGGTAGGAAAAGTACCAGATGCTTGCTAATAATTGACAAAATTACCAAAATGTCAGTGCCTTGTATGGGAAACGGAAGCGTCATAAAGAGGTGATTGAAAGAGGATATTGACTAGAGTGCTAGGCAAACCGATTGAGACCCGTTGTCATGAAGTTCTCCAGCACGGGGCAAAAGCAGGGAAGTGTAAGCCATCCCAAACGCCTTCCCAACCCTTCGACGTCATGACCCAAGAGCGTTTTATTTTTTGGCTCCTTAGATGGAGGACTGTCAATACGCTTCTACTGCTTGGATTGTTGTTTCGTCTCCGGTTCGAGGATGCATAACCGTGTTTCATCGCCAGCAACAAGGCGTTTGAAAAAAGGATCTGGATGACTGTTGTTGTAGTCTGCACTTGTCTGTAACCGTTGCACCTTAAATTCCTCTGTCGACGGTCGTGACGCCCAACGCACAAACCTTTCCCAGCCACAGATCACCATACAAAATGGAGCCAGCTGAGAATCCAACGGCGACCGCAAGCTTCTGGTGCGTGATTAGTCTGTTCTTCATGATCAGATCGTTCAACGACTGCAATGATGTTTTTATGGGAGGGAAGTTGTTGGTCTTTAGTCTTTTGACGGATACCATCACACTGTCCAACGTGTACCGACGGAATGGCATTGCCGATATCATCTCTTGTTTATTCATGGCGCTCAAAGTGGCTTTTGAGCGTGCAAGTTTGCCAGCTTGCCGGACCAGGCCAAAGGGCATAAACTGAAATCAAAACACTTTTTGAACGCCCGTCATACCTGTGCCTCGCTTCGAACGATGGAGTGATACATTACAAGTGTGATCGAGCGATCCCACTAAATAAATCTATGAGGGTGGGTTTCTTTGTAGGAAGTTCAAAACGGAGCTGCAATTGAATCGAATGAGAGAACGAGTGATCTGAGATCTGAGTTAAGGCCAATAGCGGAATAATATACTTTTTTGCATTTTTGAGCTCTTTCCTATTGTACTTTCCATTTGTATGTTCTATGTATCGTTTTTACCTTTTGTATAAATTTACCATGTCATACCATATATTGTATATTATAAATTTAAATTCATAACTGAAGATAATAAAACTGACGAGTGAGAGAAAGCCTCTAACGGAATTAGCCATGCATAATTTAATCCATTCAAGTGTAACATGGGATGTAAATTTGAGAGCATCCCAAAAAATTACCATAGAAACAATGAAAATGCAATGTCCATAGGAATGGTCGTGGGGTGGGAATGAGTTAATTTCCAACTGACCAGAACAAATTTTCCGAAGGCTAGCCTGTGGCATTGAGTAGGTTCCTTCCCAAGAGTAAAATTTGCTGGACTCCATGGAAACAAAGGAGAGCAACATTTTCAGACTGGGGTCCGCAGCAAGCAGCTTTTCTTCGCAGTCCGTCGTTATGAATTATGAGAGCGATTTCCGTCTCTATTGTCCGTCAGTACTCTTGTTGAAGAAAAAGGAAGTGACTGCGTTGTGCCGGTGAACACAGCCAAAAGGTTTTAAGTATGGATCTTTTGCCAAGAAAGAGCTCTGGCGATGGTTTTAAATAGTTTCACTAAAAACCACAACATGAAAGGTGAAACCGGAGGTCTGGAAAAAAAAAACATCAAGATCATAATTCTGGACTGTTGGAAAAAAATTACATCTCCAGAGCCTTTCAGAAGTTACTGAGAAGTCTTCAACGTATTTTGACGCAACCGTTGCACTTAGACTCAAAGTGGAAAATGAGTGTAGTATTTTAACAGATTCAATATTGGAGCAACAAAGATTTAAGAGGCTAGGAAAAACTGCAATTTCCATATCCGACGAGACTGTTTCGAGTATTCCTTCCTTCCGGAAAGCTTCTGCTTTTCCTCATGTTCATCATTTTACCATGTGACCATTCACCCCCTCCGCAAACATCCTATATGGGCATTCATCAGGAGGATCATTCTTCGATTAAAGAAGGAAGAATGGTCACCGTACGTAACAGTCTTTGGGATTCCAGCGGGTGTAAAGGCAGAAGGCGGGTCGGATGACCTCCGGAGGGTCAGGGTGTGCAGCCACTGGTCTTTCTGGGGATGTCCACGGGTAGTCCGTGGAGAAGCACCCGAACGGGGGGTAGCATTTCTCCCATCTCCTCTCTTTGCAAAATTATCAAAAAGGAAGAAAAAGGATGAATTGGAAGGACTTGAGAGGCTCGGAGACTTCATCAATGTAGAAATTCACTAATTCGCCCCCTAACATAACTTATTTTAATTATAATCTTTTTGAATTGATTAGGATGCACAGACGAGGAAAATGCCAAAAAAGCAAAATAGTCTCAATGTAAGATGTATTCCTGACGGATTGCAAAATGATTTGTCAAAATGAAATGCCAGGAGCAGTAATAAACAAAACAAAAGAAGAAAGTGTCAAGGTATAATGTATTCCTGACGGATTGTAAAATGATATCGAGTCCGCTTTCAATGCCGTAGTAAGGCGATCCTCAACCGCTCAGGTCATAGACCCATTTACCATTGCTCATGGAGCTGTGGACGTGGAAATGAGAGAAGTTTTATGTATAAGCGTAAACGAATGCTCTCGAGTGGGATTGCAGGTTTTACTCCCATGAAGCAGGTTTCTGACTCCACTGGGAAACACCGGACCGAATAGACACCTGCTCGATTTTACGGTGAAAGAAAAATGTCGAAATTCTCTTGCATAGAGTTCTCACGCGAGGAATGAAGATCCGAGAACTTCGGAATTGGGTCCTTCCCAAGTGTCCTGTCGACGCGGTCGCCTGCCCGTCGGGCAAAGGAGGTGGACGGATCCAGGACGGCATCCAGGGACGTGATCTGCTTTTCCATGTAGAAGCTCACTAACTGCTTCCACGCGACTTCCTCCACGACCAGGAGGGACTGAACTAGTAAACCCGCGATGCCGATCAACATCGCAGCCTGCAGGAAGGGAAGAATGAAGAATGAAGTAGCGTCATCGGGAATCGATCGCCGGTTTAAACCGACTCGATCTGCGTTGATTACATTTTCGCAGAGAAATTCATAGAAAGTTCGTAAGTTCTTTAAACTTCCGTAGGCTGAGGCCCAAACGAAAAGCATGCAGGTAGTAATTTCGCGCTTAGAATGCGTTCATTACGAGTTGAGTTACGCAATTTCCAAAATGGTAAATATTGCAAGCAAATTATTGAATATTATCACGAAAGTGACTAAAATTTGCTGGAACACCTCAGGTAGGAATTCCTGTGTCGAGCTCAACTCTTGACGGTTCTCGTCATTTCCCAATTGATGCATGTCATTTCCCAGTGACCCAATCTGCCAGATGCATAGTCTATGCAATCCCGTGGAGGCAGCCTGGTAAAATGAATTAAATTTCAACTGCATGCCTTAGCAGACTGTACAGTATATACGGTACTGTACAGTGGAAAATAAATTTAAATGGTATTAAATATATTTAACTCAATCTATACATTTACAGTATCCTAATTGCCCAAACGAAATTCGAATTGGAAGAGGTTCACCCAATGAAAAGTAAATGTGATTCTAGGCGATTACTTGAAAGCTTCATCAGGTGAATTCCATCAAGGTCGATCACCCTCGATTTCACTCCCTCCATTGAATTTATAAAAATGTAGTAAATGTGAAATATTGTCAATTACGTACTACACAGTGAATTCTACCATTCAGCGAACGATCGCAGGACTTTATTTTCCACCTCCAAGGGTGATAAGTTTAGAGGTCTCATGACACGCCACATTCAAAACTCTCAACTTGGAATATCAATAGCAAAAGCAACTTCCTTACTTTTGGGTGGACGTGTGAGCGTGATATCGAAGGTCAGAAATCGAATGGAGAACGAATTTTCCCCGCTTCGATCCTAGCACTTCAAGGGAACTTCCTCACGACAGATGAATGGTCCTAAGCGAATGAGCGCGCGAGCTTTACTGACTTCCTATTTGTGATCGGGGAGAAGGGGATGGAGCGGAAGCGAAGGATGGAGGAATAAAAGATGATGCCCTTGGAAAGGAAAATACCGTCACTTGACTCGTTTAACCTGTACTGCCACTTCTGCAAATCAGTTACGTCACTCACAAAACATGTTCATCGTGAAGCGAAATAACGGAGCGTTCGGCCTCTAAATAGGCTCCACGAGCTTCTCATTAAGAAAAAATCAAGGGAGGTTGTCGAAAAATTGACATTGGGTTCTACAGCTGATACGTGACGAGCAAGCGACCCTAAGGGGACACTCCGAGTGAACCTCTCCAGATCGGGAAAAGGCTCGCTACGAATTTCTCCTTGGAGAATCGGTGTGAAAAAAATTAATACGGTACCTCCGTGACGATGCAGAAGTAAACATATACCAGGCATAGATGTGGCACCACCTTTATGGTTTCAAAAATTCGTCCGAAATAAAGAAATTCAGAGGATAAATAAAATGTGTTCTTTTCTGTTTAATCGACCAAAGCTGATCGAGGACAAAATTCAACAGTTGCTTCGAAAACTGTATCAGCGGGAACACTTTGAAGCTATGCTGATAATACAGAATGTTAAAAACACCATTGATAAATGTCAGCGAGTATGAATAGTAGTTGTCGCGTATTTCCCAGGACGGAGGAGCCGCGGAGCCGAAGGTCACGGTCAATGTCACAGTCAATGTCACGGGAAATGTCACGGTCAATGTTAAGGACATTTTGTTGTGATATATGGATTGTTTTAATTTCCAATGTCAATGCCATGCTCGTGACAAGAGAAAAAATGAAATAAGATAGGAATCATATTTCGTCTGTTTTAATTTCTCAAAATGAATGCTATTGTGACATGAAATAATTTGTGGAGTTTTAAGTTTATTCCCTTGACCCTTCCCCAAATGCTTGTTTTTTATTATACTGAGCTCATGATGGACTTCTTTAACGCATCTTTTAAGAAGGAGCATCGTCCTCATGAGAAGAGGTGGTCGTGGGAAGAAAAGGGGTTCTCTTGAGTGACAGTTCATTTGGACCCCCCTAGGGTGAAGGGGAGGAGTTCACGATCTTGCACTTCATGACATGTGCGAATGACCTATATATGTAAGAGTGATCTCCCAGGTCGTGAACACCAAGAGCCTTTGAATATTTTCTTCTTGCATTCACAAATATATAACGCAACTTCAGGACATTTCATTTAAATTGTGCATCTTTGAACGATTATATCTTTGAGAAGACGCAACCAACCTTTATTAAAATTGACCACAATATAGAACAACTTTTGCCAAAATATACTACAGAGTTTTTTAATCGTGTCACCCTCTATCAAGTTGAAAAACTGATTCTACCAAAACCCCTGAAATCAAAATCTTATCAATGTAATGAAATCATTTAAAGCTCATTATTCGCTGGATTATACCTTGATCCAGTAGCCCTGAAAATTTCATGATTTTATCGCATCTCCTTATTAAGATATCAATCGTCAAACCTTCGCCACTTAAAGCATTTTGCAATCTGGGATTATGTTTGTGGGTCATTCAATGTCAAATCAACACAACCATTTACCTCACCCCCTCCGATTTCCATGAAATTTGCTGAACTTGTAAGGGCTATTTAAAAACCATCCCATGACAAATTGCAGCACTCTACCTCAAGCACTTCTAGAGATGTAGGAATTTGAAAGTAGCAAAAAGTTGCATGTATACATAACCCTTATCGTTCATTCAACTAAATAAGTCTATAAATTGCTTGATGCAGCACTCGCACTTGCACTTCACGTCTTCACACGAGGAAATGAAACCGCAGACTGATACAATGGAAAATATGGAAAGTTGGAAACATATTCCATCCTAATGATTAGACTCATTAGCTAATCGACCGCTGTGAGCCAATAAGACAAAATTGAATTTCCCATTGCTATTGTCAGTGCTAATAATGATTGGCTCTCCCCTCACAATATAGTCGGCTCAGAAACAATAATATCGAATGCTTTGAACGCTTCTGAGGATTGTTTCCTATGAAAAAATTGCATACTGAATTGGGAACTAACCCCTGCAATGTCTGTAGCTCCAATTCTTCGTGGTGGTTAGAGGTGCGTATTTGTCCATAAATGCGCCACAAAAGCAGCAGAATGCATATCACTCCTAAAACTCCACAGACAGAAGCAACGGTTACAACTGTGTGAAACTCTAGCAGCTCTAGCTACGTACAATACATATAATATGAAAGTCACATATGATCATGGGAGGCTCTATTTGATCCGGAGGATCTATTCGATAATCTTGATCCCAAACGTAGAAGTTGCATTGTAATTGATGACCTCATGAGCACGGCCCTATCTCATCCTCGAGTGCATCGGTTGTTCATAAGCGGTAGACATCGTAGCGTCTGTTCTCAACAGTTCCAGAGGGTATTCATTGAAAAAAAATCTGCATCCTGTCATCAGGACGCATTGTCGCCAACGTGTTAATCGTGTCACCCTCTATCAAGTTGAAAAACTGATTCTACCAAAACCCCTGAAATCAAAATCTTATCAATGTAATGAAATCTTCTAAAGCTCATTATTCGCTGGATTATACCTTGATCCAGTAGCCCTGAAAATTTCATGATTTTATAGCATCTCCTTATTAAGATATCAATCGTAACAACCTTCGCCACTTAAAGCATTTTGCAATCTGGGATTATGTTTGTGGGTCATTCAATGTCAAATCAACACAACCATTTACCTCACCCCCTCCGATTTCCATGAAATTTTCTGAACTTGTAAGGGCTATTTAGAAACTATCCCATGACAAATTGCAGCACTCTACCTCAAGTACTTCTAGAGATGTAGGAATTTGAAAGTAGCAAAAAGTTACTATTTTGGGTCAAGTCGTCATCGCTTCAGTGCGCATAACTTTTGTTATAGTAAACATATAAAACTGATATTGGTGTCATTTTAAAGGTCTTTTCATGTCTTTTCAAATGATATGGCACTCAAGGACCTTAAATGAAAATAAAGGTCAAAGGTCAAAGGATGTGACCTTTGAACTTTAATTACAGAAAAAATGTTCTTTTGATTTCCTGAGAAAAATTACCAGACTATTGTCAAAAGAAAAAAGTCAACAGGTTGTATGTAAGGTACTACTCGAGTGGATTGTAGCCGTTCTTGAATGGTAAAACATACACAGATTCCGCCGTTTGGTCCTGCAAAGAAGGCTCCTTGGATGGTTCAATTTCTGTTGTCAAGTCGATAACCAAAGGCTCTGGAGAGAGAGAGAGAGTCCTTATCAGGGATGGTCATACCTGAGGTCTCACCTTCCTGTGGGGATGTTCTGCATGCACGAACGAAAATGAAGCATATCTTAACATTAATTTTTTTCATTTTATAAATAAGAGGGAGACGGAAGCCACTCCACTTCATAGAGTTGGCGAAGCTCATCAACTTCCAGAGCTTCCTCTACGGTCAGATATTTTTGCAAGAAATATATTTTATATTTTACCGGTAACTTACTGGTACCGGCTTACTGGTAACAGTAGTTCTCCTTATGAGATTATTCCCTCTTTCCATCATCAATATGATGCACACGTGATTGTTGACAGGTTCGGCATGGGTATAGCTACTCTTAAGCAGCTTAATTGCATGCCTAACATGCGTCGGACATTCAAGCGTTACAATATATGTGCTCATATGAACAAAATGGAAGATTGTAGGAGTGATTATTGGGGAAATACGTATACATAACCCTTATCGTTCATTCAACTAAAAAGTCTATAAATTGCTTGATGCAACACTCGCACTTGCACTTCACGTCTTCACGCGAGGAAATGAAACCGCAGACTGATACAATGGAAAATACGGAACGGTGCAAACATACTCCTTCATTCTAATGATTAGACTCATTAGCAAATTGACCGCTGTGAGCCAATAAGACAAAATTGAATTTCCCATTGCTACTGCCAGTCGAAGTGATTGGCTCTCCCCTCACAATAGAG